TTCATAAAGCAGCCGAACAATCTTAATACATTTGATATATATATATATATATATATATATATATATATATATATATATATATGTTAACATAAAATTACATCTAAATTTGTACGTACATGCAATGAATCCTGAATATTTTTAATATAACGAATTTTATACAAATATTCAATTATTCGATATTGCTAAAGTCTAACTTTCGAGACTTCCCGACGAAGGTTTGCACCACTCCTGATCTTCTCAGCCACACTCGTACCTATTTGGCGCGCATCACACATTCATTATACTCATGCTAACGTTTGTGTGCTTGATTTTGTTTAACGACGTTCACAAATTGTTCATACTCGGCTAACAGGCAAACAACTTACGAACGCACACTCGGCGAATGAACAGTTCATAAGCGCTTACACTTACTGCATCCCTTTGCAACAGAAACGAAACGAAACGAAACGAACGAGGTTACAATCACATACGTACGTGGTGGGTGCACTAAGTAGTACATGACGGCATAACTCCTCCTAGCGTATTAGAAATGTTTTTTACTTGGATGAGTTGTACACACCAACTGCTTACATGCAATGTACAAATGTTTGTATGTGTTTCCAGTTCCTACTGGTCAATCAGTGGATGGTGTTCCCTTGCCTCTCTGTCAGGCTCTCTGTTTACGTACAGATGTATGTGTATGTGTGCGTGCAATTTGTAAATAATGAGATGTAAGCATATGTACATTTTGGTGTTGATCTGTATTTATCGTTTTAAAATAGCATATACATTAATCTAACTAACCTGACTCTATATCTCTTTCTGGTGAACTTTGTAACAAATTTAAAGTTTGTTTGTAACTTAATAAATTTTCATTTTGTTTTGTTTGTGCGTGTCTAGTGATGCGTCTGCAAGTTTTGCAGTCGTTCTACGAATCTGCCCGTGTTTCTGCGTTTGTAAGTACGTACATTGTTTGCGCTAGAGCTAGTGTTTGCGCTATATATGCCTTGTGTATGTTTGAGATGTGCTCATAAGAGCTCATAAGAGTTTGGTATCTGTCGATATGTTATATGATATGTCGCGCCTTATTTTAATTTTTTCGTTTGAAAACTGGATTTATGTTTGAGCAATCGATTGTTCATTCATTTTGCATATTTGTTTATCCAAGTGCGTATGTTAAATATTTGTCCACATCTCTCTTTCTCTCTCTCTCTCTCCTTATTTACACACAGTTGTTTTTGCAACAGCAAATACTTGCAGACACGTAGAAATCACAATTCAACTAATTATTTTTATAGCCTTCTGAACGAAATGTAAATAACAGATAACTGAATCAGTGCTTCGTAAAATTATATCGAAGCTATATAAGTTCAGTTATTCCTGTATTTGTATATACAATATATATATATATATATTCATGTGTACGTATATAACAATATTTGTATATTGTGGCGGGGCGGAAAAACCTCAGAAGCACTAGTTTCGCCGTGGATTAGTGAACAGACAATTTTTCAAACGCTTCTTGAAAACCTGCCGGGTTATGTTGACAGTACGGGTAGATCATTCCAAATTTGGGCTGACGATACTGAGAATCTTTTTTTACCTAAGCGCTAAGAATTGAATTTTGGAGGCACAAGATCTCCATTATTGGAGGATCTCAGTCTACTTCGATTCGCAGCTTCACATACTAGTTGGAGTTTTTCTATCAAATAACTTGGAGCATAGCCAGCCAGTGGATCACTGACAAGAAGAGCTAATTTTAACAATATATACAATCTATATTATATATATATATATATATACTTATATAGCTATATATATATACATATGCACATGTATGCATTTGTATGGATGTATTTATACGCAGAGGACGTTTTTGCTTGTGTGCTTGTGAATTGTTGTAACTAGAAAAAGTACAGGTGTGCACAGGTAGTAGTAGCATATATCAGGATGTTTTATTAATTTACGACGCGTTCGTACGAATCTCATTTGCATGAATTAAATTGGATTAACGTGTTGCAAGCTTCTCGAGTGCCACTGTGCGTTATAACTTTTAATGTATAGTTCATCAAGTTTTGTTTACGTTTTTAAACATAGAATTGTGTGTGTACATCTGCACATGTATTAGTATATGTGTGTATGTTATTATAATACAACAACGTTGAGTGTATGGAGTTGCGAGGAGAAATCGTGAAAATGTTGGCGTGGTGTTGCAGGAAAGAGTTTGATCGACAGAGTAGGGAAGGTAACAAAGAAGGAGGAGTAGGTTCTAGGTTGGATGGAGACAAAGGTCACAAGTTGCTGGTTTGCATTTAAACAGATATTCCGACGTCTGCAGTTGAATGTGGCGCCAAATAACTTACCATTAAGGTGCTTTAAAGTAAATTAAAAAATATTTTGAGGAAGAGTTTAATTTAGCAGAAAAAGTTTTATCTGACTTTATAAGATTTCCGCGAGTGAATTCAATAAATTGAACGATGAATGATAAAATTTTGTAAACGAACTTATTGTTGTTATAATGATGGTGATGGTGACGACAATGATGATGGCTAGTCATTTGGATGATTGTTATAACAAAAAGACGAGGACGTCAACATGTTTAGGATGAAAAAGTTTCCGTATTTGATAAGAGATGCTTTCTACCTACCTACCTTTATTAGTAAAAAATTGGTCTTATATTTGTATCACATTTTGTTGTTTTGTTGGGTTAGGCATATTTTTACAGGTGTTCTTCTCAAATTATCACAAGTTAGCTTATTCTCAACTCTACTGTGCGTATCATTCAGCAGATATTTATGTTTGTGTTTGTACATTATTTAACCAAATAAAACACGCCGCAGTTTATTTTAAACGAGCAGTTCATGTTAATGTGTATTATACTGCTTATTATTTAAAACTGTACATACGCTCACTTATCGACCTGATGTGTTTCGCTTGTGTAGAATTGAATGCCTTGTTGAATGAGTTTATGATCAATGCTTTGCTGCGCAGTACACAATTTCATGTTTTATTAACATGTAGAAAGAATAACCAGCCTAACGTCTGTGTGTGGTGTTGTGTACGTGTTGTTTGTGCTTTGCATATGTAAGTCATTGCTGTGAATTATAACTCACTGAGACACATTAAAATTGTTAGTTTAACTATTAAATTAAATTATTAAAAGGTATCAATTTATAAAAAAAATTATTAAAAGTTATCAATTTATAAAAATATCTGCTACTTCAACAAAACAATCGCTACTGTGGCCATTAAACTTGCAACGGTTATTTCAGTTTAGATTTATAATGCTGTTTCGCATATATCAAATCAGGTGTATTCTTTGTTCAGTGACGGGACTAGGGAGCCCCCCCTCGTGCTAAACCCCCCCGTTGTGACAAGTTTTTTTTGGATTAAAAGTACCGTTTTTACAAAAAATTGACGTGATAACGAAAAAAAACCTCTTTTGAGGGCATGTTGGCCTCCGTCAAAGTTATCTACATTCGCCACTTCCTGTGTTGATCTTATTTTATAATATTCACTGATTATCGTCACATACTTCCAAATATTCTACAAATTTTTTTTCTAAGCTCATCTATTCAAACAATCAGTCATTTGTTTAGCGAATGTCGTCATTAAACCAGCTCATAGCTCAACCACATCAGAGACACTGCACTCCTATTATCTGACACCCTGCCAACTGAATATGTAGCACGTACCATACCATCATGGTCTCTTTACACAACCATCTGCAGCCTTTTTTTTAATGTTTTCTTCTGATTTATGTTAACTAGGCATCAATTTGTCAAATAAACAAATGCACTGTTTTCCTTGCGTGTTGACGACAAAATGACGTCAGTAAATGTAATTAATTGTTGTAATGCAGAAGGATGTTGATATTATATTTAGTAAAAAAAAAAGATGAATAGTAATTATGCACCGTGGTGTTTTATCATAAAATTTTCAAAAGTTTTCTGTTTGCTACCATTGTTATTTTTGTTTTCAATTTGAACATAACATTTTTTATTTGGTAATATGTTAAAATAGTTATGTTAAATATTAATTTTTAGCTGAATATAAATAAACTAAATTTCATTAACATTTTTAGCCTCAGTCAAACATAAACAAAATGTGACGCAAGATTCCAAGATTTTTAAACAAATCAAACAGTAGAATAACAGTTCTGATAAGCTGTGAAATATTATTTTAAGAAGAGAAGTTTGTTAAAACTCACAATGAAAGACGACAATAAAGATGGCAGTAGTAACGAAAACAATGGAAATAATGGTAAAGTGAAAAACAGTGAAAAACACGAAACATACACGCACATTAAGAAACGCAAGTTTAGTATATCTTCACCAAAATTGGAGCTGTCGAATGATGATGCGACATCCTCACCGCCATCCGCAACAACAACCAACCACGTTACAACATCAGGGAAAACTTCTACCCAACAGCAACAAATTAATGTCGATGAATCCTACCAATTAAAATGCAACAAACAAGAGTTAGAAACTTTCGATCCAATAAAAGTTGAAGGTAATCAAAGACAGCAACAACATCGCGTGCCGCAGTTTCAACAGCAGCAGCAGCAGCAACTTCATCAGCAGCAGCAACAGTACAGACAACATGATGATACTGCTTCAAACTTGTCGTCGTCATCTTCATCTCCCACCGGTTCCGTATCTTCTCCAGAAAGTCACCCCAATACGTTGAACCAACTAGCAAATTTAAATTCACACCCCTACTTCAGCCCACCATACAATTTTGTCAACAGATCAAACAGTGCTAATCAAAATGCTCTTCACAATAACAACAACATCAATAGCAATGCAAATAACGCATTATATGGCGTGAACAATGCCAACAACAACAACAGTAACAACGAAAAATCCATACCGGGATCACCACAGAGACGACATTCGGAAAATTTTTTACAATTCCATCAGGGTCCGCAGCCCATCACTCCTCCCCCGCCAGCCCCACAAATATCAGCAGCTGAGTTGTCCCTCTTGACGGAGGTGTCGGCCACGAAAAATGGGACCTTCCAATGTACTCTCTGTCAGAAACAGTTCGGCTACAAAAACGGTTTAATACGACACGTCAGACTTACACACGTTGGGGAAAAACCTTACCAATGCAACATTTGCAACAGGAGATTTGGGTACAAACACATTCTTATGGAACATCAAAATCTTCATTTTGGAAATAGACCCTATGCTTGTGTTCAATGCGACAAACGCTTTGCTGCGCGATCAAATTTGATTCAGCACAGGACAGTCCACAAACGACCATACAATTGTTCGCTATGCAACAAGAGATTTGACAGAGAAGATCAACTGAAGAAACACTTGTTCGCTCATCCACAAATGTCCGTAATTGCTTGTTCCTCGTGTGAATACACCGCCTCTAGTCACGCAGATTACAACAGACACTTAATTGATGTACACAGGTCAAACATGAAAGATTCTCCAGTGTCACATTACAATGACAACAATGACGACGATGATGAAGATGATGAGCGAGATAATGGTACTGACACAATTGCTGCAATTCAAAAAATTGGTGGGCAATTTAATGAAACCAACTTTGACGGCTCCTCTAAAAATAATCATAACAACATGAGCCATTGTCCAGAAAAAGATAAGAATTATAAGAAAGAGACAAGTTACAGAGGAATTCCTTTAGAAATGAACAACGAAGCATTTACTCGTAATGAAAATGAACAAGCCAACCAAGAATTTGATTTTCAAAACGTTACCGTTAAAAAAGAAATTCCGGAAAACTCTGAAAATCTAGGTGGTCAACAAATGACCTCCTCTGTATATCCACAAAAATCTTTTGAAGAACACATGACACCATATGGCGGTCAGCAGACAATCAGACTAAACAACGAATGGGTCGATGCAAAACATAACGGTCAAAAAAATGTACCAGCTAACAAACAAATATCGGAGAACAAAGAATTGTTCAGTATGTGGACTGGTGCTAATTCCCAACAAACTAACCAACAGCGTCAACAGCAACAACAGCAAGTGCAGTTGACGATTGCATCGTCAGCAAACCATTGTCAACTACCATACATTGATGAGAAGCCAAATCAACACATGAGCATGCAGGCCGCACTTCCTGGAATCCATGAAGTGTTTTCCAAAAAGAGCCAGTTAGGTTCTCTTCCTTCATTTTCCAACTTCATACCGACGTCAAATAGCAGAGCACAACAACCTATGACTCAACATCAGGATTCCTCGCAACAACAACAACAAACATTCATCAACCAGGAACTTCTTTTGTCAACTCACCAACAACTAATTCAACAACAACAACAACAATTGCACATAGAAACATATTCCAACAATCAAAACCTACAAACTAGACAACCGCATCAACAACAATCAACATCACAGCAACAGCAACAAAACCACTTGCTTAATTTTCAACCGACGTCTAATCAACTGGATTTTCAGATTTCCCCCTCAATTTCATCGTCAAACAACATGCTGAGCAACCTTCTACCTACTAATTCAACATCTTCGAGTCATCATCAAAGACCAACCGCCCAACTGCCACCAATCACCAATTCAACCAGACACACAAAAGACCAAGCTATCCAGCATTCGGTCAATTTGAATGGCTTTCCTTCCTTAGATGACGTCTTGTCATATTACGTGGGTCAAGGTCGCTTGTTTAAATGCCAACACTGCAACATTTTATTTTTTGAACGGGGGATGTATTTTTTGCATTCTTCTCTTCATTCATCACCTAATCCATGGCAATGCAGTATTTGTCATAAGGTATGCTCAGATAAAAATGAGTTCACTCTTCATTTTGTCAACCAACAACACAATTCATAGTGTACAACTATTGATACATTGTGTACAACAACACAATTCATAGTGCACTCATCAACATAATTCGTAGTGCACAACGAAACAATTTTCAGCGCATGACTAAATATAATTTTGCGTTCAATTTTATCAATCGTCATTTGGTCGTTGGAGGGTCAGCAGGTTAGGTAGGTCGGGGTCAACAGGTTAAGTAGGTCAGGATCACGCAGGTTGATGTAAATTGAAGCATCATTTCATATGCACGAATTCAAACTCGTTTACGAACAAATTGTTTGAAATTCTGATAAGCCAGATGTTGATATTTTTTGTTTATACTTTCTTTTGTTTTTAATTATTTATACTGCTTTGATTAATGAAAATGTAAATTTTATATAATTTGTAAAGTCATAAATTCAACAATTTATTTTCATTTAACTAGAAAGTTGTTAAAAATTATAAAGTCGTGTTAGCTGAAATCATTTTATTGCGATTTTTATTAAATCAAGTATTTGAAAGTTGTTAAAACTTTGATTCTATTTTCCAAACATCTTCTTTGGTGACGCTAGTCTTGTTAATCGATTTCTGCACTCTTATTTTTGCTATGGTCATAGATTGCATTGCGTACCTACAACACAAACATCATATTAAACTATGCACATCTTTATTCGTGTTTACTTTTTCAAATTTTACGTTTTGGGTATTGGGTTCAAGACTTGTTTACAATGGATTTTAATCCTATTTTGATACGAACTTGATTAGAGATATTTGCAGACGAGTTTAAGGTGCTTACAAATGACAAATTTTTGTAAGATTTTTAAATTTTTAATAATGCTTTCGGTATTGTAACAGTGGTTCAACGATATAAATATTTTTTCGCTTTTATAACGTTTATTATTTTTTTATTTCAAAAATTTCATTAAATTTTCCCTTACCGTTCTTTATGATATTATGATGGTCATCGTCATAAAAATCCAGTTGGAAGAAAGATTTTTATCTCTATAATATGATCAAACGTTTTTTCCTTCTTGTTTAATTGAGCACTTTTGTTTTTTATTTCCGGTGAAATTGAAACTTTTGTGGAAACAAATAATTTGTACTTTAACGTTGATTATTCATCGATAAATTGACAGATTTTATTATATCAAATTATTCTGATTGTTTGTCAATTATAAATTTCCAATAAAAGTTATTTCAAATCTCAGCTCACAAAATCCACCCCCGTACAAGTTCTTGCAAATGAAATCAACGGAAGCCGTGTAAAAAATATTGTCTCACAACTACAGTCATCTCTGTGAAGATGATCTAGTAGTTCTTGCAATGAGGAAAAACTTCAAACAAGAGCTTATCGAGTTTGAACAGAATTCGAAATCAAAAGTCGATTAATTAAAAATTCAAATGTTATCCTACTGACCCAATAAAAGGGTTAAGGTAGTGTAACATACAATAAGTAATTTATTGTATGTTATATTAATTTAAGTAACTTATAATATTTTAAATTCAGTTTAAAGTTCGCCGTCAAGATGATTGTAAGAAATGATCAAATCAGAAAAGGGATTAATCGGTGTTTAACAGTATGCTCGAAGGAAATGGTTTAACCAACTGAAGTTTTTTAATTTAAAAACCCCGAAGTGATCAACATTATGATGCAAATTTCGATATCGATTCTCCAACTTTAATTTTTTTTAAATAGTACTATGAATTTGAAAAATTATTTTTTTATTATTTTTAAAAATACTATAAATTCGATAAATCAGGGTAGTAAATGAAATTGATAGGTAATATAATTTTAGATAACATTTTTAAATAAACTGTAAAATTAAAATCAAATCTATTACAATAAAAATTGAATCAGCTAAACGATTAAAACTTCAAATTCTGCATTGAAGTGACCTAGATCAAATGCAAAGCAATACCAGGAAAGTCAAATCTATTATTCACGTTAATCTATGTATTATGCAAATATAAGTTATATGCATTCGTGTGCATGTTGATACTGCCAGGTTACGGGTTGGTTAGTAGCAAAGTGTGATTCAATGATTATATAATAAATAAATAAGTTGTCGATTTCAATATGTCTCTATTCGGAGACATATTAACCACGAATATGTATATATATATATATATACATATATATATATATATATATATCAATTATATATTATATATACATGATATTAACTTATTCTGTTGAATCACGCTTACCCGCTTGAACATTTCAGAAAACTACGAAACTAAACTTTTACTTCCTAATCGGATTATCCAAAAATCCTCTTGAAAAATTTTGTTTACAAATAAATAACAAATAACGAAGAATGGTGTGATCAAAACGAAATTATGAAACACTTTCAAAGTTGCAAATCAACTTCAGAATCCATTGATGTTCATGTTTTGTATGCGTGCATGGTATTTATTTAGCTGCCCTATGGTATTCTTCACGTTACTTCACTGAAGGTATGAGCCGTATTTATAGATTGATGATGGAATGGAACTACAAGATAATGACATCGGTTAAAATTCGGTTTAATGACGCAATCGCTTCTAAGCCAGCGTTCAAGTCATGTAGGCAGTTCAATTTCTATATGCAATTCAATGTATATCACATGACATATTATTTGTAGAAACATAGTTGCCTTGTTACAGGCTTAGCTCCGTCTGTTGACATCTTTTGTAACTGTTATGTAAGCATCCAATGGTATAATAACATTATGTCGATTGTTTAGACATTAATACAACATACGTAATTTAATATATATT